TCGAGCCTGGGACAGAACAGCTGGGCTGCCAGGTTTGCCCCTGCAGGACCAGCCTGGTAGCACCCCAGTTGCTCTACCCCAGGGTCCACAACAAAAGCCTGGTCTGCTGGGGGGGAGGGAGGGTGCACTAGCTGCGCCCCCCCTCAGCAGACCAGGGACACGGGGAGCAAAGCCTCAGAGGCTTTGTTCCCGGTGTCCCTGGTCTGCTGGAGACGGTCCTCAGCAGACCAGGGGCACTGGGAGCAGTTTTTCTCGCCCCAGAGGTCGAGGTGGCGGGACCACTGCCTGCGAGCTCCGGGGCAAGAAAGCCCCGTTCGTAAGTGCGGATCCAACATAAGTCGGATCCGCATAAGTCGGGGACTGCCTGTCTAGGGATAGCGGTACCAAGAAGCTAAGCCAGTCTACTGTGGGTGCATACACTTCCAGGTTGCACCTTCTATTGACGCCACAAATGTCTCTCAGGAAAAGTGTCTGGCACAGGTTTCAGAGGCAACAATCCCCTCTTGGGAAACATCAAGCATTCGGGGGAGTGCATTTATCCCCTGAATGGTTCTTCTGGTGTCTGCTTCTGTTGGGTACCAATACAGGTGAGCAAGGCATGGAACTGGAAGAAGGCCAAAGTCTTTTCTCTGGTATCAGAGAATAGTCAACATGCTCCACTGACATCTTTAGCAAAAAGCTCTGTACTGAAGTCAATGTACATGGGGAACTCTCCTTATGTGATGACTCTTGATAGAGGTCAAAGTCCTGCATCCATAAGCAAACTCTTAGGCCTCACCACTTAACCTTTTTTCAAGTGGAGTATGAACCTTCTGCAGATGTGACAGTCACAAATATGGGATTCCCACAAACATTTCCAACAGGCCTGATGTGGGTCACTGACTGGCATGAGTTTCACAGAAGTACAGCAGGGATTTAAACTAGTGAATGCAGCATCACTCAAGTAGTGGTTTCAAAAGTGTGAAGAGAAACCAAATGCAGCACCAGGAACCTAACACACACTAACTACGGCTAACCAGTTAGTAAACAGGCTCTAGATACAGAAAAGGAGCGAGGAAAGCACCTGTGTTAACAATCTTGAATCATTATCACTGAGAATCATCACTGGAGTAAGAATAAACTAGTGGTTTCTCCCTTTTATACCAGCATGCGGTGAGTGGCATGTGGCAACAAAGAGCACACCAACCATCCCAATGATACTAATGACTGAGCACATATCAGCAACACCTATACTTGGGGTATACCCACATCTACAGTTGAATGGAGTTAAACACTGGAAAAATACTTGTGGTTATCAAGGTGATCTCATTGGTGAAAGAGAACTTCTGTAATAGTAACATCTTCAATATCATCTGTTCCACAACAATTCTCCGGCATGACAATTCCTAACACTTTTTTATAATCTATTATCAGTATCAAGAGTAAAAATACAAAGAGAAATCCGTCCGTCTCATCATACAGATCTAAAATTCAAAAATGAGAATCATGCATAGATGGTACCAATAAAAAATGCTCTAATTTTTTCAGCTTGTTTACTTTGTACATAAGATGCTGACAGATGCACAATCATATTCACAATTTTCCTTGCATGGTAAGTCAGTTTTCCCTGTTTAACAACTGAAAGAGAAAAGCGTGTTTTAAAACACAAATGCTGATGCTGGGATACCAGATCATGTCTAGTACTTTTAAATCGCTTTTTAAAATGTAGTTAATTTCAGGTGAATATAACAAACTTCAAGATTGCGTGCACAAAAAGTAGTCAACTGTCAATGTCTCTATTAACTGTTTCCACCTATTATTTTATCTCTAAAGTATTTGAAAGAAGCAAAATTTTAAGGAAGGTGCTATTCAAAATCAAGTTGTCTTTGAACTTCATTTTACCTTTATTATTCTGTATAGACAGTGCAATTTCAGAATTGTGAGTCAATGGGAGCTTTTTTCCTTTCCCAATAAGCTCTTTATTTACAAAAGTCCCATTCACACTGTGGTCCTCAATGTAAGCAACATAGGAGTTTCTTGGTCCCATTTCCTAAAAAAAAGAAAAAAATACACCAATACAGGAAGAAGGCTTTTACCATGAGACTAATGAACCATATTCAGAGTTAATAATTTATTTTCCCTAATTCACAAAATAATATATCAAGAAGTGGTGTGGCACAGTGTGTTTGGCAATACTATTAGCTGGTAGCGAAGAAGAAAGAAAACCAGTCCCTGCGGAAGAAAAGAAGAGATGGAGAGATCCAGTACTGGAACTGAAGGAAAAGTGAGGATGATATACATGGGACTGCAAAAGAGAACATAAAACAGATTCATATCAACACCCTGATGGTCTACAGCAGGATGGAGAACCTTTTTGGGCTGGTGGGCCACTGACCCACAGAAAAAAAAATCAGTAGGGGGCCACCCACAAGTAAGAAGCAACTGCTCCAAAAAAAACCACCCCCCTCACTAACATGATCCCTGACTGAGAAGAAAGACACTCCTCACATTCCCTCGCACACCAGAACCTTGGGAGGTAGGGGGACAGCAAGCTAGTAGATTTTGTGTGCTCTAGCTCCATGGGAGGATAGCAGGGGAGCTGGAACAGAGCCCTGACCTTTGGGAGCTGCATCCAGCCCCTGGGCCTTAGGTTCCCCACCCTTGGTCTACATCAGTGGTCTCCAACCTTTACACACCCAAGATCACTTTTTAAATGACAGACCAAGCCAAGATCTACTGCCCCGCCCTTCCTTGAAGCCCCTCCCTCTCTATTCTCCTCCTCTCCTTCACTTGCTATCCCCAATCCTTATACTGCTACTTTAAAAAAATAATTCCCACCATTCCTCGCAGCTACTCACCTGTGCTGTTGCTCGGTGAGTAGCTGCTCCTCAAATGAGGAAATCTAATGTAAATGTACTGCGCAGGCGCGCAGTTCAGAGACGGCTCAAGAGCTACTCTTAGAGCCTCCGAGATCTACCGGCAGATCGCGATCTACTGGTTGGTGACCACGGGTCTACATGATCAGGAACTCCACAATAAAAAGACCTAACAAACTGTTATCAGACCAAATTTAGAAACAGAAGAGTGTGCTTGCTGTCTGACAGGAACAAGGATACAAGAGTGATGCAAGATTGGAGAGGACCTAATGAGAGTGGGGAAAATCCAATGACTGTGCGGATAAGTGACTGTGGGATAAGTGACACTACTAGATTCCCATTGGAATGGATCAAGGATGCCAATGTCTCAGCCAGCTGAGCGTAAACAAACATGGAAGCTCAGATGATTTTCAGCAGAATATTTCCCGTCCCTAAAGAAAAAAGGTAACAACATAAAATGAAAATGAGCTGATGGCTCAAGGATTGGCAATGACTGTGCGGATAAGTGACTGTGGGATAAGTGACACTACTAGATTCCCATTGGAATGGATCAAGGATGCCAATGTCTCAGCCAGCTGAGCGTAAACAAACATGGAAGCTCAGATGATTTTCAGCAGAATATTTCCCGTCCCTAAAGAAAAAAGGTAACAACATAAAATGAAAATGAGCTGATGGCTCAAGGATTGGACCGACAAGGCATGTTTTGGAATGACTGACCATGGGGAAGCATTTAGGGATCCCCAGTTAAACACTTGGAATATTAATTTTCTGGCATCAAAGCTACCATGACAGATGGAGGAGGCCTGAGGGAAACAACTGAAATGCTTGTACACAAACACAAAGAGTCTAAGCAACAAAATGGAGGAACTCAAACTACTGGTGCAAGATGTTACAGGGATTACAGAAACATGGTGGAATAGCACTCATTAATAGAATACAGTCATTGAAGGGTATCTGCTGTTTAGAAAAGATAGAAATAAAGGTAAAGGTGCTAGGGTAGTGAAATAAATATGTGATACAGTAATCTGTAATAAAACTCAAAACAATACTAGACACAAAACTGAATCTAGGCCAAAATCACTTTGGTAAAGGACTGTAGAAGCGGTTCTGTAGGGATAGTGTTGGGGCCTGCTATAGATCTGATGTAATTACTAAGGATGTTTAACGGTGGTTCTAGCTACTCATGTAGTCGATCAAAATTGTGTCAACTACACAATTAGTTGATTAGGGGTCACTCTGCAGAGCTGCAGCAAGGGGAGCTCCCAAATCCAACTGGAGCCAGAACTGAGTAGCCCTGGCCTGTGCCAGCTCTGGGAGCCACCTGAGCTATAGCTCTGCATTTTAAATGTAGTAAGAGCTGCTGGATAAACAAAACAGGCCATCAACTATGTTTTTTTTTATTTCAAGAAGTGAGCTAGACTGAAGAACTCAAACTTAAAAATGCAGAAGAGGCTTGGAACTTCCTCAAGTCAACTACAGAAAAACTATTTAACATGTCCCAAGAAAAGGGAAAAAAAACTTGTAGAGAAAGGCTCTGATCCACATGGAAGAATATTCGCCTAAAAAAGATAATTAGGAGTAAATAGAGAACATATAGAGTATGAAGAAAGGAGAATTGCTAGAAGAAAGGCTGAATTAGCTCTTGCTAAGGAAATTAAAAAAAATAATAAATAATATTTTTAGTTATCAAAATAAACATAAGGAAGAATTAAGTTGGGCTGCTGTGCAGTGTGGATGGAAAAAAGATTAAAAGATAATTGAGATATGACCAAAAATATTAATGAATAATTAATTTTACCTCAGCTCTCAATAATAATAATACAAACATGCATGAAGGCAGTATGGCTGATGGAAATCAATCACTAATGATGAAAATTACCACGTGTGAGGTGGAAGAAGAACTTGTGCTCAAAATAAAAGTGAATGGATAATTTTCATACCGGAATACTGAAAGAGCTGGAATATGAAATGTCTAGTCTAAGTAGCAAAGGTTTTTTTTTTAAATCTATTTGCTCACAGGCACTACTATATGATGGGAGAATAGCTAATGCCAGACAATATTTAAGAAAAGGAAAATAAAGTGATCTGAACAGCTACAGACCAAATTAGAGCAAATTGTGAAGGAAAGAATAACTTCATTCATAGAAGTAAATGTCCAAAGGGATATAATGGAATATGGATTAAACAAAGGTACATCACAGTAGGCCAGTGGCTCTCAATCTTTTCAATCTATTATTATTTCAGACCTCCTCCCCCACCCATATAGCTGTGCCTGCAGCCTGAACATCCCTCAGCCCAACCTGCTTCCCGAACTGCGTCCCTCGGTGCTCCATGCCAGCAGCCAGCACATCCCTCAGCCTGTGCTGCTTCTCAATCCGCAGGAAGCAATGCAGGTTGGAGGATGTGCTGGCTGCAAGAGGCTCCATATATTTATTTTAATTTCTATTTTAAACTTTCTGTGGCTCTCTGCAATACCATCACGGACCACTAGGGGTCCGCAGATCACAGGTTGGGAAACACTGTTCTAGGCTGATTTCCTCCTTTCAGAAAATAACTGAATATGTAGATGATTTGAGTAGATCTAACATAAGTGGACTTCAATAAAGCATTTGACATGATATTACATAGATAATTAATAGTTAAATTTGGAAAGGGGGGGGAATCAACACAAGCACTGTTAAGTAGATAAGGAGGAAAAGGCAATAGGTTGGGCAGAAAGGCAAATTGTGGGACTGGAAAGTTCCTCAAGGACTGGCCTTGGGACCAATGTTATTCTATAATTTTAGAAATGATCTTGGCACAAAACGTGAGCGTGCACTAATTATTATTAATTAGCACTATCAATATGGAGGAGGATCAGATTACTACACAGGACAATTTAAATGACATTGAAAACTGGGACAACAGAAATGGACTAAAACTCAATACTGCAAAGTGTAAGGTAATGCACTTAAGTCTAACTATGAGAATTTCTACAGTAAGTTCGGAGTGACAGAGGAGCTCCATCTCCGCAAGGAGCAGGGGAGGTAGAGGCACAGCAGAAACAGCAGAGACAGAAGCAGTCTCTACTTGTGCTGGTTTGCCCACGATTCTACTTTTGAAATGTACAAGAGTCCTGCTGGGGCTCTTGTACATGTCAAAGGCTCAGGCATGGGAGGGAGCACAGGCCAGTGGGGTTGGTCCCATGATACCTGCAGGGCTTCCTTTTGAAATGTACAAGAACCCCGCCAAGGCTCTTGCTATAGCTCAAAGGCAGATGTGCCCTTATCAACTAATTGAATAGTCGATGGAAATTCCATCAAGTATTCAATTAGTTACTCTAAATTTAACAACCCTATTCAGAATCAGTGACCTCTATGTTCTCTTCACTATTTACCCCTCTCCCAACTTGTGTGTCATCTGAAAACTTTATCAATGATGATTTTGTGTTTTCTTCTGGGCTATTAAACAGCATGGCTACGTCTACACTGCAAGGGTTTTGTGCAAGAAGTCTTTTGCGGAAGAGTATTTGCGCAAAAGTGTGTCCACACCTCAAAGCACATCGCTTTTGCACAACAGAGCGTCCACACTGCATGGACGTTCTTGTGCAAGAAAGCTCTGATGGCCAGTCACAAAATGGCCATCAGAGCACCTGTGCTTTTTTGGATAGGCTCTTTTTGCGCAAGAAACCCCTGCAGAGCGTCCACACATGCCTTTTTGCACAAAAAGGAGTTATATCTTGTGGAAGGAGGTATAGCTACACTGCAAAAAGCCCTCTGTTCTGTTGATTGACTATAGATTTTCAATGATTATTCCCTAGTTACAATTACAGTTTGAGACCTATAATTTACTTACACTGTCTTTACTTATTTTTAATTGAACTCCAGTTTCCATCCAAATAGAGCCTGATGCAGATCACAAACAAAGATTAAAATCTAATATGGATTGTGTCATTCACAATTTCTAACAGAAAAAAAAAGTTTAGAAAAGAAAATGTATATTATGTTATATAGTTTAAATCAATGTGGCTAGATTATATGTCCTGGTAGGACAATTACTGTAAAACTTGTATTTAGCTGCAAGTCAGCAGGTTTTAATGCTTTCCAATCAAAGAGAACCAACTTGTCTTTAGGAAAATAACTATATATGCAAATTAATATTCTATCTGGTTACTGAAGTCAAGTTTTCCTGGTGGCGATTCAAATTGCTTTGCATTAGAATTTTTCAGTTAAGCCAGTTTTTCTTTCTTTACAGGACAGAAGGAAAGGGGTAAATGGTCTTTTTAGCACTTACCCTGAAGATTCGGAAGTGCTTCTTGCTGTAGTTATGGTATAAGCCTGACTCGGTCAATCCTATCTTAGCAAAGCTATAGTCACAGCTTCTGTCTCTGCCAAACCAACATTCGTCATACACGCAATCTGGGGTTGAGGAAACATGGGGAGGAAGAGAAAGAAAGAAATACAAAATTCCAATGAGTTAGACCTACCACTACAAAAATGGTATCAAATGATAACATTTAAGAGACAAAGCAAGATTCATCTGACACTGCCTGAACCCTATGCTACTTCATTTCTAAATAAAAGTAGCAGATATTTTTTTCCCTCCTCCATCTCTCCTTCCCAGCTACGTGACTACTAAAAAGCACAGTAACTAACACCACTACCTAAAACCAGGAAGAGCATACCGACTGCTACTCAGTTATGGTGATTACAACCCCTTTTTTTAGTTCTAGTTCAGATTAATAGTGTGCATCTGGGCATCAATTTATTGTTATAGATGTCATCTTACTGAACCCTGGGAGGGAGGAAGAAATATGACATATTAAAAGGGACTACTAAAAAGCACAGTAACTAACACCACTACCTAAAACCAGGAAGAGCATACCGACTGCTACTCAGTTATGGTGATTACAACCCCTTTTTTTAGTTCTAGTTCAGATTAATAGTGTGCATCTGGGCATCAATTTATTGTTATAGATGTCATCTTACTGAACCCTGGGAGGGAGGAAGAAATATGACATATTAAAAGGTTTTGTTTCATTCTCCAGGGTCAGATTCTACAAATATATGGCTCTTCTTACATTCAGTAACATAAAATCTTAGCCAGGCAAATAAGAAGGCAGTGGAGGAGAATTCTGAATTCTTCCTCCAGATTGGTAGATGCTGTACATCTCAGTTTCCAATGGTAGCAAGATTTCTTACCCAAAAAACAAATACTGCAATCATACCAACAATTCTACTTTACCACTAATTCAGAAGGGAAATGTTCCATTTTGTTAAACCTTTTCAGGATTTGTTGTCCTATTACAGGGGTCAGCAATCTTTCCAAAGTGGCATGCCAAAATTTAACCCACCTGCCCTGGGCTGTGCCACTCTCCCAGGAGGAGGGGAGAGGATCTCTCCACCAAGCGCTCCATGGACCACCTGAGTCAGTGCAAACCTTTCCATGGAATACCAGTTGCTAATGGAAACTCACTGTTAATTACACCTGAGCTTTTGCTAGTGCTGCAGCTCAAGAAAACAGTTTAATTTAAATTAAACAGATTAAACATTTTAACTCTCTCATGTTTATTTAAAATAAAATTTGATAAACTAAGTAAAATATTAAGATGAACACAAAAGGTTTCAATGTTTTCTTTATTTATGGCATGTGTGGGGAGCCTTTTTTGGGTCAGGAATCAGACCCATAGAAAAAAATCAGCTGGGGAACATACTAGTGAGAAGCAATAAAACTCCTCTAAATCCTCCCAGCCCTCACAGATGTGGCCCCCAAATGAGACCCCTCATTATTCTGGCACCCCAGTCTCCACGGGGCAAGGGGAAAGGAAGAGGGAGGACTGAAAGGCCAGATTTACTTTTCTGGGGTTCCAAAGTCAGTGGATTTTGTGGACCCTCTTAGGCTATGGGGTGGGAACAAAAGTGAGGGGCTCAATGTGTGGGACAGGGGTGCCAGTGAATGGTACAAGGATGCAGGATGGGGTGAGTAGGGCAGGGTTTGGAAGGGAATTTGGCAGCAGGAGAGGATGTTGGGGTACAAGAGCGAATTTGGAGGTGGGAGGGGGTTGGGGAGTGAATCAGAAAAGGTGAGAACACAGCCAAATAGCTAGTTGAGGAGGAAGGCAAAGAAGTGGGGAGTAAAGGAAAGGGCAGCTTCTCAAATTGTATCCCCCCTCACATTCTCCCTCTGCTCCAACCTTGCTGCCCCAGACCCATGATCCCCCCCCCCAGCATTGCCCCATGCCCCTCAGTGCACCCTCTGCCCCCTCCCATCCTGCCCCAGCATCCTTCTTCACCCCCACATCCCTGTGCCCCCAGTGCACTCACAAACAGGGCAGCAGCATTGGGGTGAGAAGAGGAAGGACAGGGGGCAGAGTCTCTTCCCTTCCTGGCCCAGCCCTTTGCCTGCAGCTCCAGGGCTGGAACAAGCAGAGCCCAGGGTCGCCCCAGAGCTGGCTCCAGCTTGGAGCTGGGGAACGGGCTCCCTCCCCTGCACATAGTCCATGGGGAGCAGCCTGGGCCCCAGTGCCATGTGTGCCAGCCACCCAACCCCACCCCCTTCAAAAGCAAGAAGCCTGCAGCCAAGAAGGGGGGTTAAGCCCTTAACTCCCAGGAGCTGCAAGCCCAGACTGGGCAGGGATACCCCCAGGGACGCGCACACAAATACACCTCTCTCACCCCTCACACTCCAGCAGGATGCTGCTGGAGCTGCAGCATGGGCTCCTGGCTGCATGAGGCACAGGGTCGGGGCTGAGCTCCAGCCCTATGTGCCATGGAAATTGGCTCACGTGCCTCGTGTGCTGGGGGTTGGCAATCCCTGTCCTATTACATACATTGGCTTTGGAGAACCCACTATGGTCTATACATACCATAATTACAGAAGCCCTTTCCAAGTGCAAAGAGTCGACCCCATGGCTGAGGAACAGGTTCTTCGGGTTCCTGATCCTCAGGAATTGAAGGAAGCTCCTGAGTAGGAACTGTGTCCAAAGAACTGAGGGTCCCAGAACTGGAAGACGACTGACTGGCACTCTGTGATCCACTGGAGGAAGAACTTGTACCACTCTGTGATTGCTGGGCACCTTGAGATTGCTGGGATTCGCTTCCAGTCTCTCTAGACATCTTGGCTTCAGAACCAAAGTTTCAAACAGATTATATTATGTAGGATTTCTCATCACCAAAGTTAAATTAGTTGACATATTTAAATAACATTAAAAAGAGGGATGTTAGATATCGATTAATTTAATACTCATGTAACCACGTTAAAACTTAGCAATTACATGCTTATTTGATAGCCTGTATCAGAGGCATCAAGAAGGGGATGCAGGGAGGAGCTAGTCTACAAGGGAGCCCAAGCTCCGCTATCAGGCAGCAGTGTAGGGAGACGACAGGGCAGGGGGTACGGGAGCAGCAATTCTGCAGAGTCGGTGCTCATGGGAACCAGTTATTAAGCCAGATCCCCAGGAACACTGGCTCCTGCCTGTACCTCCCCCCAGCCCCTATGGGAGCAACCAAGGGTGGGGCAGTCAGCTTTGTGGAGCCAACATATACAAAGAGCCAGCTCCCCACATGTATCAGCTCCCGCCTCCCCCCCTCCTCACACACTGGTGTCTCTGAAAGAAAGGAAGCAGTGTGTGTGTGGGAGGGGGAGGCTCCGTGGGAGCTGATACAAGCAGGCAGATGGCTTGAAAGCTGGGTTCCCACATATACTGGCTCCCACTTGCCCCCCTCACCCTCCGCGCTGCTGACTCTCTCTAAGGCACCAGCTTTATCTGGTGGCTCGTGGGACAAAGCCAGCTCCCCATGGGCACCAGCTCCCATCTCGCCTGCTCTTGCTGCCTTTGATACAAAGGCAGCAAACGGAGAAGTGTTTGTAGTCAATAGTATGGTTAATCATGTAGTCATCTACACATTGATATCCCTAATTAAAACAGATATTGTAGTAGTTTTCTATATAAAATTTCTGGCATAAAGAACTCATCGAGCTTAAGGGTAACCTCCATATGCTCTATTTTTTTTAAAAATCCACTTCAATTGTACAAGAATTTACCAGACACAGCCAAAAAAAGCGTGTAGTGTTTCCTCTGCTGGTTGTACAACAGTTAAAACAAAATCCCCGACTTTCATGTAAGCTCTTCAAGGCACAGATTTCATGTGCATTTGTATAACAGCAATTATCCAGTGCTATCGTAATAACAATAGATCGCCAAACAAAAAGGGACAAATTAGAAAGTGATTCACTTTTGTAAAAAGAATGCTGTAAATAAGCAAACCCAAGTAAAAATCATTCAATACTATAGAAATTATTCCATTCCTTCCCAATTTTGGACCATTCTTGAAAGAGGACAGAGACTGTGTTAATGACAGTTTATTTTAAAAAGAAAAATACTCTTCATTTTATGCCACTTACTATTCTGATAAACAACTGGACAGCCTAAGAGTGGTTGTTTTCTCTTAGCTTTGAATACATACCTAAAGTCTCAACGTTGATTGCAGATACTCTATATAAGTCAGCAATGACATGAAGCTTTTAAAATCAGCTACTACACTTGCACAAGAAACAGGCATCAGAGCCCAAAGTAATCTGTAAAATAGTTAATTATTATAAGTGCATAATTTTAAAACAGGCAGGCTTAAAACAAACAAAAGGACATATTTCTTTACTCAGTGCATAGTCAACCTGTGGAACTCCTTGCCAGAGGATGGTGAGAATACCAGTACTTTAACAGGGTTCAACAAAGAGCTAGAAACATTCATGGAGGTTAGATCATCCTATTAGCCAGGATGGTTAGGAATGGTGTCCTTTGCCCAGAGGTGGGCAATAATTTTTGACCAGGGGCCACCCTGGAAGGGGCAGGGCCTCAGGCAGAATGGGGGGGGGGAGACATAGGACTCTTCCATGCATCCTGATTGGTCTGGGGGTGAGGGAAGAATGCAAAGTCTTTGCCCACATCCCAGAGAGAACCACCGGCGATTCCCTCTAGGTACCCATGTCCCTGCTGGAATGAGGAGACTTTGTATGCTCCCCTCCTATATCCCCCGAGTCAATCAGGGCCTGGGGAAGGGGAGCACATGAAGTCTCTTGCTCTCTGCCCCTGCCCTGCAAGGAAGCACAATGCTTAGAGTCAACCACCAGCCAAGTAGCTGTAAGTGCTGAGCCCCTTGCAGGGCAGGAGGAGACTGCCCAGAGGCCCTTTTGCCTCCCATGACCCTAGGATCACTTGATTCTCTGTTCAGCCCCCCCCCCCCCCGCCC